TGTCAGTGACGTGGTTCTAACGTGATAATAATTTTCTTTTAAATGGCTTTGGCTGGTTGTCACTTTTGTCCTAATGAGCTGGCTCTTATTTTATGTTCCAACAGAAAGAAAAACAGCTGAATGTAGAGTTGGCTGTGCTTTAATACAGAGCTATGAAGAGCATCGGCCATACGTAACGTTAGCCACATTAGCTACCCACCATGCTAATGGGACAATCCCATTGTTGTAATGTTGCCGTCACAAAGTAATTGACCAGGTCTTTGTACTTAAGTGTGTTTGTAACACAAGCGTCTGTAGCTAGCATGCAGGTGCTGACGTGACCTCAGTGTAAATGAGGCCGTTGTTTCCTTGTTGGAGCCTTTGTGCCTCTTTAAAACACTACACTGAATGAAGCGGCACAAATGCAGAATGTGGATAATAATGGTTTGGTGGTTATGATGGTTTTCATATTTAGTATTTTAGCAATGTCAAATGTAGCACACAGAAACACATGCATTTAACAAATATGGGATGAAGTACATGTTCTTCTGGTTTGTGCTGATGGAGCCTTTATGCTGTTGGGATGATGCTGTGGTTGTTATTAGCTTTTATGAAGTGAGGTGAAAATAGACACGTGACCATCATTACAGGCTTATTGTTTCTGTACTAATCCCTCCTGAACACCAGGTGATGATGTAGGCGGGGCATGCTGAACTCTAACACGTGTCACTGTGTGTTGTGCAGGTGCTGAAGTTGTCCGACTGCTGTGTCCCTGTGGCGTGTTGCCCTGGCCAGCCGTTCAGGGCAGTCGCTCGAGCCAGCGTGGAGAGCTACAGCCAGCTCGGGATAGCTTTCATAGAAGATCGCCTCCAGCTGGACAATGGACTTACGCCCTCAAAGATAGTCCGTATGTTGTCTTCAAGTAGATTTTCTACAATGTTTTTGTTACACGGTGTCACACCTCACAGTTCCTAACTCTGTCTCGTTTGCATTGAGTATTATATTGATCAGCGTGATTAATAAAGCCAAAAGAAAACAGCACTTGGAAAATTTCCTGTGCCAACACCTTCATCTTGTCACCTTCATCTTGTCACCTTCATCTTGTCACCTTCATCTTGTCACCTTCATCTTGTCACCATAGAGAAAGCGATGAGGATCGTACTGTAATTCTGTTGGTCGTGTTTTGCTCCACCCCTCTACCAAACGTCCTAATATACTTCCCCGAGGTCGTGTTCATGTAGTCCTGCAGTGATGACGTTCAGAAGGAGAATAAACTTTCTTATTGTTAGTTTACGTTTCCAAGATAAAAAGGTAGAAGCGTGTT